CAACCAGACCTCTTTCACCCCCAGGGCCATGCTTCTCCTGCGCCGGCAGGGTGGGCTGCCGACTTTCAACGGCTCTCGATATCCCAGCAACCTGTGCCAGCGGGACAGTTTCGTACTGAGGCGCCGCTAATCAGGTCTACAACGCTCGGCGGATGGCAACAGGAGTTTATGCGCCAGCGGTCGGGAGCCGGTACTCCAGTTGCGCAAGGCAAACAAGCCGTACGGGATAGTCCACAGTTGAGCGGCGGCGGCGGCATGTTCCAACAGCCGATGATGGATTATACCCAGCCTATGTTCCAATCGTACTCTGGCGGTTTCCAGCAAGAACCGCAGATGCAACAGTCTACGATGATGTCTATGGAACAACATGTCCAAGTTTCCGACGTGGATTTCGAAGCCGCGTTTGCCGACGCATTCGCCCATGCTCAAGAGATGGACCAACAACGTGCTTCCTCAGGACTTTCTTCAGACCCCAATGCCATGAGCTCTGAGGTGCAGCGACCGGACGGAGGAGAAACTGTGCGCATAGGCAGCGACGCCATCGCTTACCGCGAGAAAACAGAGCGCACGGCAGAAACAGACACGCGTGACGCAGATGAACTGGCTCGCACCGCAGGCCAGCTTCTTACAAGCGTATCACACGACAACAGCGACAAATTCCAAAACAGTCAGTTCCTGCAGCTGATGCGGAAAATCAGGGATCGAGAGGTCGAGGTACAGGGTGACGAACTTCAGGAGACGGGCAGATCAACGTCCAAATCGACGCCAGGACCGACACAAGAAGCTACGAACCAACAGTCGTCGCACTTTGAGTTCCCAGACATGGACGCCGTCTATGCCCCCACGAACACGAGCGATGCCTGGGCAGACTCGGAACTTGACCAGAACGCCCAGCACCGATACGCCGGGTCGTGGGACTACCCCCCGGCCAGCGCACCGCAGTGGAAGGCTGCGCCGGAAGTGACGGCGCACGACCCCCAGGTGCTCCAACGGTCGCCGTACACGACATACGGGTTTGACGATGACGAGCATCCCAGTGACTACTCTCTGTCACCATTGCAGTTCGAGGCTCTCCACCCAGGCGGGAAATACTACCCAGACCAATCTCCGCGCCTTCGACGCGCAGCCCTCGACGCCGCCGCTGCAGAAGAAGCCGAGATGAGTGGTGCCGTCCAACCTCCCGTCGAAGGTGGAAGCAACAAAGACGCCCAGGGCGGCGGTGACGGATCGAAGCGGATCTCCGCCAGCGACTTTGACTACCTAGATTCCACCTGGTTCAATTTCCACAGGTGAAAACAATCATTTGTCGCGTTTGTTCCAGCCGTTGCCTTTTTTTTTTCGGCTTTTCCGACTTTTCCGACCTTTTCGCTCCCTCTCCACCTCCCCCAACGGATCCTTCCCTCTGACCACCATCATGTCCTAATCCTATTCCTATTCCGTTTCTATTTCCGTCCCCTTGGCGCGTCCCGCGGCCAAGCAATCGAGCCTTGTTCAGCGGAATTACATGGGCGTCCGTGATGGAATTCACACACACACACCCACACACCCACACACCCACACACCCACACACAAAGCGTGTCCATCATGACCCACCAACCCACCCACCAACTAAACAGGTCTACCATCACACCGAGGACTGCTTGTACAGATAATTTTCTTTTTTTTTTTCTCTTCTGGTTGGTCAGGGGATCATCGAGAGATAGATAAGAGAGGGAGCGAGAGGAGGACGAGGAGGAGCAAGATGAACCAGGCTTGGATTCGACCCAGTTCGGTCAGCCAGTCCTGTGCTTTTCGTTCGAGTCGTTCGTTTTTTAGAAAGAAAAAAAAAAGAACGCTCCAACCTCGAGCTTCAGGGGCCGGGGGGGGCATTCTTGATTCCACGGGACGAGGCACTGCTGTTTATCCTGCCGCCGCCGCCGCCGCCGCCGCTGCTGCTGCTGTAGCTGCTGCAGTCACCGACGAATAATGAAGGGACTGGGAAGTCAAGAACGGAAAATTGAATGAATTTTAGAAAAACAATGCATCATCACCACCAGCAGCGGGCGAGATGGTATAAAGAGCAAACCTATTCGCAGTGACTCATTTCAGTTTTATTCCCAACTCGTCTATCCCCAGACATGACTGCCTTCGCTCCCGTTCTGCTCTGTCAATCCAATGTATCAATTCATACGCCTTCGTGCTGTACTGCATACCGGAATCTATCATTTCGTCATCAAAGGATAAGGACACCCGGCGTACTTCCCTGGGAGCATTGCCAGTCCCCGTTCATTCCATCCCGCGGCGTAACCATCGACGCCTGCGACTCGCCACGTACATACATCTCGGATCTTGTCAAAATCAACATGATTGAATAGATATCGGACCCAACTTCAACCGCCCATGGCCGCCGCGGCCGCTGCCCCTGCGTCTCCTTCGGAAATGACCCATAGCAACGACCAGTTCAGGACAGCAATGCTCGCCATAACCCACCAAACGGCGCCCACACAGTTTCCACCCAATCCCATCCCCAATCCCCATCCTCCGAGGGTAGGTCCCAGAGTCCTGGCTCCAGAAGAGACACTCTGTGCAAACCCATGAATTGTGCCTAATACGCTCGGGTGCGGTGTACAATTATTGATAAGAATCGTCGAGCCAGGCAGAGCGAACGTGCGGGCAATGACTTGGAAAGCCAACACCACTGTCAGAGCCGGCCAAACCAAGAATGCTTTGTTGGGAATAAGGGCCAGATATGGCATGATGAGATATGCGAGAACAGAAAAGGGAAGAAACCATCTGTAGCTCGGCAAGGTGCCTAGTTTCGAGTTGAGGGATGGGTAGAGGAGGATCTGAAGAGGGAACCCGATGATGCCAATAATGGCAGTGGCAAGGCCGACGCGGTCAGAGCTGAGGCCGAGGCCACCAGAGAAGAGAAACGGCAATCTTGCGTGGGCGTTGTCTGACCGGGGTGCTGGGAGGAACAGGAAGACCAACGCATTGAAAGCCGACACATGCATGGCCAGGAGGTGGTGGGCAAGCAGAGTAAGGATGACATTCTTTGTGAAGATTTGCCGGAATGATAGATTTGGTTTCCAGGAAGCCGGCTTGGTGCCCGTGGGTGTTGCGGCTGGAGTCCTTGACGACTCGGGGTCTCTGTCTTGCGGTGACAGATCGTCTTCATCAATATCCTGCAGCTCGACTTGATTGCCAATTTCAGAGTATTCATATTCCTGCTTGCCACGACGGAACAGGACCCGGGCCAGATGCTTGCCTAGCTTTCGGCCATAATCCGGCCTGTCTTTCAACGCGACATGGGTTTCGTCCAAACCCAACACGAGGAGGAGAGCAGAGGCCAGGATGAACATGGAGCTCACCACGTTTGGGAGAGCGTAGGGAAAGGCTGTCATCCAGCCAACTCCATCCTTGCCACCAATGAAAGAACCTGGTCCAAAGACAGCAGGAAACGAGGATATTGGGTCTGCAAGGAAGCCGCCGAGGATCGGGCCGATAACGACACCTGGGAGGCATTTAGCCAGGAGACAATATCAAGCTGGTTCATCTGACTTACCAATGTTAAAACACATGGGCAAAAGAAGAAATGCCCTCGACTGGTATCTGTCGGGTTCAATTAGATCATGGAATCCTTGAGGGAGAGTGAAGATAGAACAGGTACTTTTTCTCTTTGATAATCTCGCTGATCATGGTTCTCATGACGCCCACATTTCCATTGAGACAGCCAGCACATGCTCGGAAGAACAGTGCCTGGGCAAAGGACTTTGAGAAGCCCACGCCAATACAACTGACACAAGTACCAAACAACCCTACCAGCAAGACTCTTTTGCGACCAATCCAAGGCGTATCAGCCGCTCGTCCCCACCAGACGGCTGTCACAAACTGCGCGGCTGCAAACGAGGCAGTGAGCATACCACCTTGACTTGCAATCGTGCTATCTGGAAGATTTGGGTCAAACGATCGAAGCTGGTAGAACAAGTATGCCGCAAGAGACCGTTCCGTCAATGGCTCCGAGAGTCGAGCAAAGGTCAGAACGGCCAATTGTCCCTTCTTAGGCAATGACATCCATGTCACCGGTCGATCTTTATCGGATCTGTCTGGCCGTCCATGAGCGGCGTTCTCGCTCGCTATGGGGTCTTCCTCTTCGTCTATAAATGAAGGTCGGCGAGCCGTGGAAGAGATGCCCGGGACCAGGCTCGGTCTGGCTGGGTGTTTGGTGGAGGGGCTGGCCGAAGCATGCTCCAGAAGGTCATTCTTGCCATCGAATTTCTCAAAATACTCTGTGCTTGAATTGGCTCCGTCGAGCGACAAGGCCACATCTGCAAAGCGGGTATTGCTGCCCTCTACATTTTGCCTGGCCCGGTCGTCAGGAATATGCAACGGCGGTGAGGGCATTCGTTGGGGTCGGTTTCGGTTTCGGAGGTTATCATGTGGAGCACAGACTCGCCAATCTGGAAGTTTGTACGTGGTGCAAAAGGCTAAGAGATACACGACTACCGTAAGTCGCAGAGCAATACAGCTAGTCAGCACAAGATATGGTCAGCAAGTAACGTGCAAACGTCGACTAAAACAAAGTGTGAGGAAATCGCCTTTTACAAAGTGAAGATGACGAAGGCAAGACGCAAAGACGGCAACTAATTGCGTGCAAGTGCGAGTCGGGGCACTTTTTTCATGCCGCTCCACCCGACGGGAAGCGGCCGACGAGGCTGAACTGACGAGGCTGGACTGGCAAGGCTGGCGATCCGCAAGGCTCTGCCATTTGCTCCCCTTTAAACGACCACAGATATCTGGGCTGTGGTTCTGTGGTCAATGTCCAATTTATGTCAGAGATTTCTTCTCTACCCAAATCACAAATATCCTACCAAGTCAGCTCCACCACATCAATTCCTACCAAATCACTTATAACCATAGCCTTTCCAACAAGCGGGTCTTTCATTACATGTGTCCATCTATCACCCCCTTAGATCATCAACAAGTTCACCAATCACAATGTCATCGTCAAATCTGTCCTCTCATTTATCGCCTACTTCCTCCGGTCTGTCATCCTTGTATCTTTCGAATCTCTGTTGCCAGTACTGCTGGTCCTCCAAACTCATGCCTAAAAATTCCCCACAGAATGCGCTCATGCTCTCATAAGGCCACTGAGAAGGGTATTTGTCGCATTCCCCCTTCGCGAAAGAGCTCTGCACGTCATCTGCAGGATTGGTGGGACCAGACGGCGTTGTCCCCTGTGCATTCTTTTCCGCCACACGCACAACTCTTTCCAAAAGCGTTACCCATCGATTCAACGCTTCTGCACTCATCGTGCAAGCGTGCTGGCGAAATTCCACTGTCGGCTTAATCTGTTTCCAAGTCGTGTTGTTGCGTGCTAGATTGACCAGATTCGCAAAATTGTACATATATCCCCTGTGTGGATTGCCGTGTTCATCGTTTGGTTGCAAGAGGGCCACCAGGTCAAAAATATTGCCGCCTTGATTGAAGATGGCGTCTCTGATCGATTCGGGGGAGTATTGGGTGGACCTCTGTGATAATTGCTTCCGTAGATACCGAGCGTTGGAGCTGACATTATCGGCTCCGGTGTACTTGGCCTCGAAAGCGAGAACCACTCGTTCGTTGCACTCCTCTAACTCTTCCTCTGATTGCTCGGGTGGTGGTTCGTAGGGGGCGTCGGGATCAAAGACTTCGTCGTCGATTGAGCCTTCATCTTCCACCTCTTCGGGGGCTGACTCCAAAAGTTGAATGCCGCAGCGACTTCGAGGGTGACACTTCGACAAAAGATCTTCGTGTAGGACAAGGATGTATGCCAAATGCTGAAGCAACAGTATGGGGATATCCTTCGCACTTGAGAAATTGAATCCGATATGCACATGAGCACTAGCCCAGACAGATTCAAGAATTGAAGTCTCCTTCGAGACTAGACCTCCAAGATATTTTTCGATTTGAGAAAGCGCTTCCCTTTTCCTCTCAAGTTCAAACACGGGCGAGATCATTTCCACTCCATAGCTATCCCATTTCGAAACATCATCCTCGGTGACTCCTTGAGAAATCAGATGTTCTCGTAGTTGACTTCGAAGCGCTCCAACAACAGTATGATCGTTTGTCAAAGTCCATTCTGTGTAGTCTATTAGACTCGTTCGAAGTAAGGCTCTTTCGTCGGTGGAATTGTGGTTCGGCAGGATGATCTTCGAAGCCTCATGAGAGTCTCGATTGTGTGGGTCAGGTTCTACCCATCCCACAACATTGGAAAGAAGCCCCTGTTTTTCAAGGCGGTCTTGAGCAATGAGGAGTGGTTCCGCGACGTATCGTCGTACCCATTGCTTTCCATTGCGTACTCTGCTGAAAAACATGCCCTTGTGGAGTTTCGAGTTGCACACTATGTCCGTCTCTGGAACGTGTAGTGCCCACGACGGGTGCCTCCATCGGCATTCGTAGGAAGGATTCGTGCCAATATTGTCGTGTTCGATTAGAGAGCGATGTTCGTAATCTGCCAGGGTTTTGATGATGTCGGCGTCCAAATTGTATTTTGATATGATAGATTCCAGCAGGTCTTCTCTGAAAGCCAGAACGAATTCAAGCTCAATGCCAAAGTGTGTAGCAAGGATCGTGGCGTCGGCGTTGCCCATACAGGGGTCAGTCGGACCAGATATCGACTTTTCGAAAGATGACTGAGATGGCGTGCGTTTGTTTCGCGTCGACTTGACTGCCGGATCGAGGGAGCTGCTTGGATATTGCGATCCATCGGGATTTGTTAAGCTACCCATGCTGTGTGTTAGAATTCTGATTAGCTGTATGATGGCGGAGGAGAGACCGCCTTGTCTACCTTCAAGCTCGATGGTTAGACACGAGTGTCCCTCTCGAGTTGAACGACCTCGAGAATTCTCCCTTAGAAGAGAGAGGTGACGCTTCCGTCTGTGCGGTCGTGTCCCGCTGCAGCCGTGTTGCCGCACTGAGTGCGCCCATTGTTCGAACCACGACCCATTGGCTGTTTGCGGCGGTGCCATGGTTCTAGACCCGCAGAGGAAGCGATCCGTACAAGTATGTGCTGAACCAAAAGATGTGAAAGTATATTATCGGACCAAAAAGTCTTTTCTCAATCAAACTTGTATATTTGTTTTGGTAGAGTTGAATTCTTCACCTTGGGGCGCTCGGACCATAGCATCCGTCCTGCAGCCCCTGTTGTGCAAGTAATAAAGGCAGTGGTCCATTTTTCAGAGCCAAATTTCCAGGCTGCATTTCTTCGGCGGTACTAGCCAGGATCCATCTGAAAGGTGTGTTCTGTTCTGGGTGTGGCTGTCATCTATCGGCGTGATTCTACCGTCTGAACAGATCTCCGGGAAGTAGGGGGTTGAAGTTGGAGTGCTGAACCTGGGTCAGCGCAATGAACTGCGGACCGTAGGAAATGGTAGACATGCTGTTCCTGGAGAGCGACGGCCAGGATGTATTATCCATCTCCTGGTGGAGTATATGGGAGGAACAAGTCAGATCAATGATCAAGACATAAGATGTTGTATATCGAGGCTTGGGGTGAGCATAGGGCGGCGTCACTTTCCTTCCCTGACGGGGTGGATCCCCAAGTAGTTTTCCCAAACCTTGGGGATTGGCAGCTTTTTGCTGGAAAACTGACCTTTTACAGACCGCGGACGTTCTACGCATCTACATCACCCACAAAAGAGTGCCAGACTCTCCTTGACCTTCCAGCACTCTTCTTGTCATTTCGCGAAAACGATAACCCTACCAGCGTAACACGATCGCCGGCAGCAAGTCCACCCCAGTTCGACTGATCAGACCTCAATTCTTCTCTTCTGCAGTACTTCCTTTCGCACACCCGTTTTCTCTCAGAGGTTGCAGCACGAAACCATCCTCGAAAATGTCCCTTGTACACCTCGCAAACACCTGCTCCCATCTCCAGAATGCCTCGCGCGCTCGGTTAGGTCTGACTTCCATCCCGGACACAAAATTCCACCTAAAACTTATGCTCGCACTACAAAACTCGGGCTTCATATCAACCGTCGTACGCGGAGGCCCAACACCACCCCCGGCACACAATCTATTATCTCATCCTTCCTCGTCCGACCCATCACACCCTGTTGAACCCGTCACGCGGCACAATGTTGCCTCACGTCGTCTGTGGCTGGGCCTAAAATATTGGAACTCAGAGCCAGTGATCGAAAAGATGGAGCTTGTCTCTAAGCCGACGAGGCGGATATGGATGGACGTGGCAGGCTTAAGGAAACTTGTGTTGGGGCAAAAGAGCGGGTATGTCAAGGGCATGACGCGCCCAGGGGAGTGCATGTACGTCAGCACGGACGCTGGGATTATGGAGGCAAGGGAGTGTGTGGAACGCAAGATTGGAGGGATGCTGATTTGCCGGGTGCGATAACCACGGCCGAAGAGAAAATCGATGTGGTTGACTGATAGAAAGAGATGGGTGCTGGAGGTTAGTACAACATTCTTCTGTGGTCTGACCATCGTGGATACGTTCAATCCAGAGTGCCCGTTTCCGCAACGAATTGGAAAAGCAGCTGCACTTCCACCAGACTCGGGGAGCCAGCGTCATGGTCGGCCGGCTTGGGATATCCTGCTCAAACCCACAAAGGATGCGCGGAGAAAAGGGTCTTTGGGGGGGGAGAGAGCACCATCACAGGAATGGCAGAGCAATAACAGCGAGCCTGGCGTGGCTGTGAAAGGAAGACAGCCCGAGCTTGGGCGAGGCTCAATAGCAGCCAACCAGGAAAGACAGAGATCGGACGACGATAATACGTGTTTTTCGACTCGGATTTCCAACGAGGACCCTTGATCCCCAACACGACCCTGTTCATGGTGGAGGCAACCATGTCTATCAAAGCAATCGAGTCTCACCTGGAAAAGGCGGTCGCTCAGTACTCACACGTTGCTGGCTCTCCTGGTTTTTCAACATCTTCTCCTTGTTTTCAGCGTCTCCTCTTCTTTTTTCAAGACTTCTGCTCGCACGGCCAAACAAACCAACCCCTCCCGCCACCCCATCCTCAACATACTCGCATGTATGTCGGCTATGTATGTACATCTAGATATCTCTCTGTATAAAAATCCAAAAACTTCCACACCTACAAAACAGACCTACGTACGTAGAGTCTACATACACAGGTAGACGTACCAAGCCTACTTCGGTCCACACGTCTTGAACACCGCACCTTTGATTCAACGCACACAACAATTTATTTTATCTAGAAACAGACCCCCCTTTCCAGTCGACTGACTGACTGACTGTCGGGTCTCGTCTTTGGATTGTAGTACAAAAGCAGATGTTACCTCTCGCGATGCTGCTGCTGTGTCTGGTCCCATCTGGAGCCTGCCCACTGTCTGTCTGCAGCCGCAGTTACTGACCTTTATAGCAACGCACGAGAAAAAACTTTGTCCCTTCTTCTGTCCCCATGTGTCTTCGAGGTGCAGAGAGAACAAAAAAAGCTCCAACCTGGTCCCTAAGTCCTGACTGGATTGAAATTACAGCATAACCCCTTCTGGTGACGGTGAGTCGCCGCCTATTGCTCTCCTTCTTCTTGCTCTCCTTCAGTCTCATAATCAAACTCCCTGGGCAGAGGCGCATCTTCCACTCCCTCTTCATCCTCGTCGATGGCTGTCAAAACACCTGCCGCTGCCGCTGCTCCAGCGCCCACACCCGCGGCTGCATCATGTCCTGTCCTCTGGCCAACTGGTGTCTGGGGAAGCTGAGCTCCTTCGCCTAGGGATTGCCCTCCCGTCGGTGCCCTTGCGGGAGCCTCAGTTTTGCTGACCAACAAGGGGATGATTTCCCTCTCCTTCTCCGGCTCAGTATCAAGCACAACCATCACACCACCTGTGGGCCGTTTGACAGGCTGATATCGCTGATCCGGGAACGTCAGATATTTCAGCTGTGCAGGCAACACCCGGGACATGTTGCTGATATCATAGCCAATCTTCTCTTTCTCTGCTCTTTTCTTCCCCTCCCCATGAGTCTCGCTCTCCTTTTTCTCCGCGTCCTCCTTGGACTTCTCCTTTTCCTTGCCTTCAGCATCATCCTTGACTGCAGAAGTCCCACCGACCTCATCAGTATCCATCTTGTCCCCTTTCTCAATCTTGGGTGTCACAGGCGTCACGGTATCGACGTCCATACTGTCTCTTCGTTGCTGTCGCTCCTTCCTTGCCGCTCGTCTCTTTGCTTGCGCCGTGGTACTCAGTACAGCCGTCTTGACTTTCTCAGGGGCTTCGTCAGTTTTTGCTTGTTGCTCTGGGGGATAGTCGAAGAGACTAGGTCTGGTGTTGCAGTGAAATTTGAATACTGGAGCTTCAAGCTTCTGGTCCACGCCAATCACAGCAGTCGGCGTCAATGACAACGAGAAGAAATGTGTCAATGGGAACCAGTACCAGTATTGTGTGAATACTACAGCACCAACAATTCCCACCATGTTCAAGTTGCCAGTCTGGGTTTGCAGGCTGATCGTACAGTTTCGCCCACCAGCGTCAAGAATGCCCATGGCGATAGCGCAGCCAAATTTGCACATTGCATCCTCGTGCCGGTCGCTAATAATCTTGAGCATCGCTTTGCGAATGCTGCCAACCTTAGGATTCAGTGCGTCGTTCTGCTGTATCAACACCATGGCAAGGGCGATAAGGGCTCCCTGGCGTACAAAGTCGGTGGGATCCTTCAGCATGGGCTCGAGCAAGTCAATAGCTTCAGCAAGACCCGTGCCCGCACAAGAGATACCCAGTGCCATGGCAGCACCATATCGGACGTGTGGATTGTAGGACTCGGCAAGCAGCTCCACCATTCGAGGAACACTGGTATGTTTTCGGAACAGGATGAACCCCAAGCTGAGGACGGCGATTCGGCGAACGTCATCACTGACATCACTGACGGCTACATGGAGCAGTTTTCGAACGGCCTTGTTGCTGCCAGTGCCGACGTAAGCCATGGCAATCGTCAAGATGCCACCATACCTCATGGTAGGATCGGTGTCGTTGAGAAGACCTTGAATGAGCTCATCCGCGCCTTCTTGTCGGCCGTACATGATCAATGCCATACCGACTGCGAGACCTCGGACGATTTTCTCGTGTTGAGTGTCGTGGGCATGTTGGATCATGTCTGACAAGACTTTGGTGTTGCCCGAGCCGAGCATGACGAGGCCCATCGCCAGACCCACAGCCTCGCCATTGATGGCAGAATCAGACCAAAGCACATTTCTCAGGTCTTCGAAGATCGTCTCATCGCCCGAGGCCATTGCTGCAACGCCGAGGCCAAGGGCACCTCCATGCTGCACGACCTCCTCGGTGGCTTCCTTGAACTTCTCCCGGATGAAGTCGACAGCCTGTCCTTTGTGATTGGCACATAATAATCCATAAGCGTACAACGAGCCACCTTGGCTGTATGGAGAATCGTGAGAAGTGGCGGACCCACTCGGCTTAGGGAGGTAGGGGCTCAGCAAACGATGGGCTTGCTTGATATTGCCCTGGTGGATGACACCAAAGACTGCGGTGGCAGTAAACTTCGACCAATTGGTAGCCTTGCCCAGCCACTCCAAGTTGTTGCGGAAGAAGGTATCGGTTGCAGTTTTGGCATGCATCAGCCCAGCGCACAGAGTGACGGCGGTGTGATATATAGAGTAGCGCGCTTCCAGACTGTCTTTGACCTTGTTCAAAATCGATAAATCAACCCGATTCGACTTGTGCAAGAACTCGACGTTCAGATGTATTGACGTGAGGCCATCCAAGATATCTCTAATCTTCTCGACTGCATCCCGCTGCTCAG